AGGGTCAGTAATGACACCAAGGACGGTAATAAATCCCTAGGGTCAGTAATGACACCAAGGACGGTAATAAATCCCTAGGGTCAGTAATGACACCAAGGACGGTAATAAATCCCTAGGGTCAGTAATGACACCAAGGACGGTAATAAATCCCTAGGGTCAGTAATGACACCAAGGACGGTAATAAATCCCTAGGGTCAGTAATGACACCAAGGACGGTAATAAATCCCTAGGGTCAGTAATGACACCAAGGACGGTAATAAATCCCTAGGGTCAGTAATGACACCAAGGACGGTAATAAATCCCTAGGGTCAGTAATGACACCAAGGACGGTAATAAATCCCTAGGGTCAGTAATGACACCAAGGACGGTAATAAATCCCTAGGGTCAGTAATGACACCAAGGACGGTAATAAATCCCTAGGGTCAGTAATGACACCAAGGACGGTAATAAATCCCTAGGGTCAGTAATGACACCAAGGACGGTAATAAATCCCTAGGGTCAGTAATGACACCAAGGACGGTAATAAATCCCTAGGGTCAGTAATGACACCAAGGACGGTAATAAATCCCTAGGGTCAGTAATGACACCAAGGACGGTAATAAATCCCTAGGGTCAGTAATGACACCAAGGACGGTAATAAATCCCTAGGGTCAGTAATGACACCAAGGACGGTAATAAATCCCTAGGGTCAGTAATGACACCAAGGACGGTAATAAATCCCTAGGGTCAGTAATGACACCAAGGACGGTAATAAATCCCTAGGGTCAGTAATGACACCAAGGACGGTAATAAATCCCTAGGGTCAGTAATGACACCAAGGACGGTAATAAATCCCTAGGGTCAGTAATGACACCAAGGACGGTAATAAATCCCTAGGGTCAGTAATGACACCAAGGACGGTAATAAATCCCTAGGGTCAGTAATGACACCAAGGACGGTAATAAATCCCTAGGGTCAGTAATGACACCAAGGACGGTAATAAATCCCTAGGGTCAGTAATGACACCAAGGACGGTAATAAATCCCTAGGGTCAGTAATGACACCAAGGACGGTAATAAATCCCTAGGGTCAGTAATGACACCAAGGACGGTAATAAATCCCTAGGGTCAGTAATGACACCAAGGACGGTAATAAATCCCTAGGGTCAGTAATGACACCAAGGACGGTAATAAATCCCTAGGGTCAGTAATGACACCAAGGACGGTAATAAATCCCTAGGGTCAGTAATGACACCAAGGACGGTAATAAATCCCTAGGGTCAGTAATGACACCAAGGACGGTAATAAATCCCTAGGGTCAGTAATGACACCAAGGACGGTAATAAATCCCTAGGGTCAGTAATGACACCAAGGACGGTAATAAATCCCTAGGGTCAGTAATGACACCAAGGACGGTAATAAATCCCTAGGGTCAGTAATGACACCAAGGACGGTAATAAATCCCTAGGGTCAGTAATGACACCAAGGACGGTAATAAATCCCTAGGGTCAGTAATGACACCAAGGACGGTAATAAATCCCTAGGGTCAGTAATGACACCAAGGACGGTAATAAATCCCTAGGGTCAGTAATGACACCAAGGACGGTAATAAATCCCTAGGGTCAGTAATGACACCAAGGACGGTAATAAATCCCTAGGGTCAGTAATGACACCAAGGACGGTAATAAATCCCTAGGGTCAGTAATGACACCAAGGACGGTAATAAATCCCTAGGGTCAGTAATGACACCAAGGACGGTAATAAATCCCTAGGGTCAGTAATGACACCAAGGACGGTAATAAATCCCTAGGGTCAGTTATGACACCAGGGAGGGTAATAAATCCCTAGGGTCAGTAATAACACCAAGGACGGTAATAAATCCCTAGGGTCAGTAATGAAATCAAGGACGGTAATGTATTTGTTACTCCATACCCACTTATTTAATACATGGTTATAGGGTAGGGGTCAGTAATGACACCAAGGACGTTAATAAATCCCTAGGGTCAGTAATGACACCAGGGACGGTAATAAACCCCTAGGGTGAGTAATGACACTAAGGACGGTAATAAATCCCTAGGGTCAGTAATGACACTAAGGAGGGTAATAAATCCCTAAAGTCAGTAATGACACTAAGGACGGTAATAAATCCCTAGAGTCAGTAATGACACTAAGGACGGTAATAAATCCCTAGGGTCAGTAATGACACCAAGGACGGTAATGTATTTGTTACTCCATACACACTTATTTAATACATGGTTATAGGGTAGGGATCTCATCTCTTTCTAATACCAAACAGTGAGGCAGGACCTCAGATCTAAATCAAGTAGCATGAAAGTAGTCATCTCTTCATGACCACTAATTGTATATTTGGTTATACGGTGGTCAACTGAACTGGCTCTATGAAATGACCCAAAAAGTCAGCCCCAAGGGGTGGAGCTTGATCCCAGACCCAACCCTGGTAGCATGTATGGATATGTCTCTTCAAGCGAAGCAACTGTATATGGTTATATGAAGGGGATGTAAAATGTTTCCATGATATGACCTAAGAAGTAGGTCAAGATCATTTTGTTTTGCAAACTCTGTCAGACTCAATCCCAGGAATATTTATGCCAATGTCAGGACACTAGGCGTTTCAGTTATTCAGAAGTTTTTGACATATTTCACCCCTGTTACCTTGAAAATACATTCTCAAACTTTGTTACTGTCCATCCAATGAAGCTACCAGAGAAACATCAAGAATCTTAGCCGTTTGGTTCTTCAGAAAAAATTGTGTGAAGTTTTTGAGATATTTGACATATTTGACCTTGAAAGTAAGCTAAGTTCATTTTTGTTCTCAAATTTGTTGGGCTCGATCCAAGGAAGCTACCAGCCAAATATCAGGATTGTAGGTATTTCGGTTCTTCATAAAAAGATGTGTGAAGTTTTTGACATGTTTGACCCCTGTGACTTTAAATACAGGTCAAGGTTATTTTCACTCGCAAACTTTGTTGGGCTTTATTTTAGTAAGCTACCAGCATAATATAATGATTCTAGGCCTTTCGAATCATCAGAAGAAGTTGTTTGAAGTTTTTGACATATTTGACCTCGTTGATCTTGAAAGTAAGCCAAGGTCATTTTTGTTCACAAACTTTATTGGGCTCCATCCAAGGAAGCTACCAGCCAAATATCATGATTGTAGGCCTTTAGGTCTTCAGAATTAGTCGTTTGAAGTATTTGACTCAATGACTTTTAAAGGTTTTTTTTTCTTTCTCCAGACCAAATTTGGAGTAAATCCACTGAACTGTTAAGGACTTTCCACCCTTCGTAATACACATGTTTTGCTTGTCGTATTTTCGTGTCGTCATTTCCATATTGCGTATATATTTTAATTATAATTATAATTTTAATTATTTCCGTCGTTTTTGGTATAGTAAATAAAATAAGTGTCATTGTATAAAGTTTTTGACATGTTTGACCCCTGTGACTTTAAATACAGGTCAAGGTTATTTTCACTCGCAAACTTTGTTGGGCTTTATTTTAGTAAGCTACCAGCATAATATAATGATTCTAGGCCTTTCGAATCATCAGAAGAAGTTGTTTGAAGTTTTTGACATATTTGACCTCGTTGATCTTGAAAGTAAGCCAAGGTCATTTTTGTTCACAAACTTTATTGGGCTCCATCCAAGGAAGCTACCAGCCAAATATCATGATTGTAGGCCTTTAGGTCTTCAGAATTAGTCGTTTGAAGTATTTGACTCAATGACTTTTAAAGGTTTTTTTTTCTTTCTCCAGACCAAATTTGGAGTAAATCCACTGAACTGTTAAGGACTTTCCACCCTTCGTAATACACATGTTTTGCTTGTCGTATTTTCGTGTCGTCATTTCCATATTGCGTATCGGGCATTCCATTACCGTAGTGTAAATTATAGTAACACCGGGTAAACAAAAGTACACATGCGTGACGATGATATGTCAACACCCGATATCGAGACTTACTAATAACTTGGAAATCATGTGCAATTACACGTACTTCAGAAATAAAGCTTATGGTACAAAGATATTAATTAACTCACAGGAAAACACTGACATACGATCAGAAGGTCGTATATATATGAGGCGCATGGAATGCAGACTGATTTGTTTTGTTTACACTTGGTGCAAGTGCATGTGCGTGCACGTAATAACGGCATACCATGCGATAGCCTACGGTTATATATGTACCATGCATAAGCGGGCTATGAAATGATGTCCAAAGTGTAACATGATTGAGAGTAAATTGACAATTAAATATAGTAATTTTAATTATTTCCGTCGTTTTTGGTATAGTAAATAAAATAAGTGTCATTGTATAAATTCTATCCCTGTGCAAAAATTTCCGATTTATTTCAAGGTAAACAACTCTCATCAGGATCAAAATTATTGTAAAATGTAAAATAAATGAATTATAAAGACTTTGTGTGTATTTGGTTCAATTTCTCACTCTTTTTGTATGAAACTATGTGTCCTGTTTGCACTTAGATTGTATTTAGTAACTTTTATCCATACAATTTCAATAAAAAACGCTTTTTGTAACATTTTGTAGATATTTTTTGATAAATAAATTATATGTAGGGTTGATAAGCAATGTTTCTTTTCATTATTTTATTGTTGTTATAGTTTTGAATAATGCCACACGCTCAAAAATATGTGAAAGTGTTGAATTTGACCAAAATTCAATTTTTCAGTATTTTTTTACAAAAAATCCCCAGTTAATCGGAATGCTTAGATTTTCATAAAATCTCCTCTACATAGTGACATAACCATTATGTGAAACTTTCATTGAATTCTGCTGGCTAATTGCGAAAGGGTGGAGCCTCCTTAAGGACCAGTAGCGTCTTAAAGGAAAAAATTGACGGACGACAGTCAGATGATGCACCATGGCAAATGCTCATTTGGCCCTTCTGGCCAGGTGAGCTAGTGAGACTAGGCAATGATTGTACTCACGGGTCATTGGGCCCTTCTGGCCAGGTGAGCTAGTGAGACTAGGCAATGATTTGTACTCACGGGTCATTGGGCCACATTGCACAGTGGTTATAGATGTAGTAAGTGAGGTGGTTGGGAACAAGATCCTTGCCAGAAACTCGCAGGTCAACTGGGTACCAGTAGTTGAACTCAGCTTTCAATCTATCCAGAGTTTTTAATGGAATATCAGTTTTGGGAATTTTGGTATTGCTGAAGAAGATATAGTCCCATATTTCTGGTGTCAGCTGATCTGCCCTGGAAATGAATACCTTTTCATCAGTTTTAGAGGCAGTAAAAAATCATACACAACAAATTCCTACTACAACATTCAAACAGAAGTCTATGGTCATTGTTTCCCAGGTCAATAACACCTTGATATACTGTATAGCGCTTTATAGTCGCGGGGTCAATATTTTTAGGGTTTTGTATTCAGTAAATATTCGTGGGGGTTGAATTTCGCCGTGCACCCGAATGCCATGTGTTGTGCAAAGTATTCTGAGTGTCATCATTTAAGGGTTAAACCTCAGAATACAGGTAAACCGTTTGAAAACAATGACCCCGACCATTGTCATCCACCAGTGACTTCACTCGAAAGAAAATCAAATGTGTATGTACCTTTGTAGGAGTAAACTGTAATCAATAAATCACATACTGTGTACACATAAATATGTTGTGGCCACTTATATGCAAGTGTTGTTTTTACATGGACTGCCCAGTTGTCTGGTGATATCTGATTTGAGTTCATTTAAGCTTGCATAACAGCATTGGGTTATAAGTATTTTCAACATTTTGTGATAAGGTCTGTAAAAGTGGTTAACATTTTTGATAATTTTGCTGGTGTTTAGAGTTTGTGGATAATTAGTCAAAGCACGAATATAGCGAAATTAAAACCGACACGAAATATAACCGCTATACAGTATCTAAGCATTGTAGAAGAAAAAGATCCGAAACCTTGTGATAGTTGATAAACTCTCATTAGTTAATTTACCTCTGTAAACCTTGTGTCTTCATACAAAAATGACCTATGACCTAGATAAACATAATAACCAACTAACACTCTATCTAAACTTACAATATTCTATAACTACGATCAATATCTGTCTATAACATTTATTATACCAGATGTTAGAGGGACTGGGACCACAGACATCACACATCCCTCCCTGTAGTATTATACAGACCTGATGTTAGAGGGACTGGGACCACAGACATCACACACCCCTCCCTGTAGTATTATACAGATCTGATGTTAGAGGGACTGGGACCACAGACATCACACACCCCTCCCTGTAGTATTATACAGACCTGATGTTAGAGGGACTGGGACCACAGACATCACACACCCCTCCCTGTAGTATTATACAGACCTGATGTTAGAGGGACTGGGACCACAGACATCACACACCCCTCCCTGTAGTATTATACAGACCTGATGTTAGAGGGACTGGGACCACAGACATCACACACCCCTCCCTGTAGTATTATACAGACCTGATGTTAGAGGGACTGGGACCACAGACATCACACACCCCTCCCTGTAGTATTATACAGACCTGATGTTAGAGGGACTGGGACCACAGACATCACACACCCCTCCCTGTAGTATTATACAGACCTGATGTTAGAGGGACTGGGACCACAGACATCACACACCCCTCCCTGTAGTATTATACAGACCTGATGTTAGAGGGACTGGGACCACAGACATCACACACCCCTCCCTGTAGTATTATACAGACCTGATGTTAGAGGGACTGGGACCACAGACATCACACACCCCTCCCTGTAGTATTATACAGACCTGATGTTAGAGGGACTGGGACCACAGACATCACACACCCCTCCCTGTAGTATTATACAGACCTGATGTTAGAGGGACTGGGACCACAGACATCACACACCCCTCCCTGTAGTATTATACAGACCTGATGTTAGAGGGACTGGGACCACAGACATCACACACCCCTCCCTGTAGTATTATACAGACCTGATGTTAGAGGGACTGGGACCACAGACATCACACACCCCTCCCTGTAGTATTATACAGACCTGATGTTAGAGGGACTGGGACCACAGACATCACACACCCCTCCCTGTAGTATTATACAGACCTGATGTTAGAGGGACTGGGACCACAGACATCACACACCCCTCCCTGTAGTATTATACAGACCTGATGTTAGAGGGACTGGGACCACAGACATCACACACCCCTCCCTGTAGTATTATACAGACCTGATGTTAGAGGGACTGGGACCACAGACATCACACACCCCTCCCTGTAGTATTATACAGACCTGATGTTAGAGGGACTGGGACCACAGACATCACACACCCCTCCCTGTAGTATTATACAGACCTGATGTTAGAGGGACTGGGACCACAGACATCACACACCCCTCCCTGTAGTATTATACAGACCTGATGTTAGAGGGACTGGGACCACAGACATCACACACCCCTCCCTGTAGTATTATACAGACCTGATGTTAGAGGGACTGGGACCACAGACATCACACACCCCTCCCTGTAGTATTATACAGACCTGATGTTAGAGGGACTGGGACCACAGACATCACACACCCCTCCCTGTAGTATTATACAGACCTGATGTTAGAGGGACTGGGACCACAGACATCACACACCCCTCCCTGTAGTATTATACAGACCTGATGTTAGAGGGACTGGGACCACAGACATCACACACCCCTCCCTGTAGTATTATACAGACCTGATGTTAGAGGGACTGGGACCACAGACATCACACACCCCTCCCTGTAGTATTATACAGACCTGATGTTAGAGGGACTGGGACCACAGACATCACACACCCCTCCCTGTAGTATTATACAGACCTGATGTTAGAGGGACTGGGACCACAGACATCACACACCCCTCCCTGTAGTATTATACAGACCTGATGTTAGAGGGACTGGGACCACAGACATCACACACCCCTCCCTGTAGTATTATACAGACCTGATGTTAGAGGGACTGGGACCACAGACATCACACACCCCTCCCTGTAGTATTATACAGACCTGATGTTAGAGGGACTGGGACCACAGACATCACACACCCCTCCCTGTAGTATTATACAGACCTGATGTTAGAGGGACTGGGACCACAGACATCACACACCCCTCCCTGTAGTATTATACAGACCTGATGTTAGAGGGACTGGGACCACAGACATCACACACCCCTCCCTGTAGTATTATACAGACCTGATGTTAGAGGGACTGGGACCACAGACATCACACACCCCTCCCTGTAGTATTATACAGACCTGATGTTAGAGGGACTGGGACCACAGACATCACACACCCCTCCCTGTAGTATTATACAGACCTGATGTTAGAGGGACTGGGACCACAGACATCACACACCCCTCCCTGTAGTATTATACAGACCTGATGTTAGAGGGACTGGGACCACAGACATCACACACCCCTCCCTGTAGTATTATACAGACCTGATGTTAGAGGGACTGGGACCACAGACATCACACACCCCTCCCTGTAGTATTATACAGACCTGATGTTAGAGGGACTGGGACCACAGACATCACACACCCCTCCCTGTAGTATTATACAGACCTGATGTTAGAGGGACTGGGACCACAGACATCACACACCCCTCCCTGTAGTATTATACAGACCTGATGTTAGAGGGACTGGGACCACAGACATCACACACCCCTCCCTGTAGTATTATACAGACCTGATGTTAGAGGGACTGGGACCACAGACATCACACACCCCTCCCTGTAGTATTATACAGACCTGATGTTAGAGGGACTGGGACCACAGACATCACACACCCCTCCCTGTAGTATTATACAGACCTGATGTTAGAGGGACTGGGACCACAGACATCACACACCCCTCCCTGTAGTATTATACAGACCTGATGTTAGAGGGACTGGGACCACAGACATCACACACCCCTCCCTGTAGTATTATACAGACCTGATGTTAGAGGGACTGGGACCACAGACATCACACACCCCTCCCTGTAGTATTATACAGACCTGATGTTAGAGGGACTGGGACCACAGACATCACACACCCCTCCCTGTAGTATTATACAGACCTGATGTTAGAGGGACTGGGACCACAGACATCACACACCCCTCCCTGTAGTATTATACAGACCTGATGTTAGAGGGACTGGGACCACAGACATCACACACCCCTCCCTGTAGTATTATACAGACCTGATGTTAGAGGGACTGGGACCACAGACATCACACACCCCTCCCTGTAGTATTATACAGACCTGATGTTAGAGGGACTGGGACCACAGACATCACACACCCCTCCCTGTAGTATTATACAGACCTGATGTTAGAGGGACTGGGACCACAGACATCACACACCCCTCCCTGTAGTATTATACAGACCTGATGTTAGAGGGACTGGGACCACAGACATCACACACCCCTCCCTGTAGTATTATACAGACCTGATGTTAGAGGGACTGGGACCACAGACATCACACACCCCTCCCTGTAGTATTATACAGACCTGATGTTAGAGGGACTGGGACCACAGACATCACACACCCCTCCCTGTAGTATTATACAGACCTGATGTTAGAGGGACTGGGACCACAGACATCACACACCCCTCCCTGTAGTATTATACAGACCTGATGTTAGAGGGACTGGGACCACAGACATCACACACCCCTCCCTGTAGTATTATACAGACCTGATGTTAGAGGGACTGGGACCACAGACATCACACACCCCTCCCTGTAGTATTATACAGACCTGATGTTAGAGGGACTGGGACCACAGACATCACACACCCCTCCCTGTAGTATTATACAGACCTGATGTTAGAGGGACTGGGACCACAGACATCACACACCCCTCCCTGTAGTATTATACAGACCTGATGTTAGAGGGACTGGGACCACAGACATCACACACCCCTCCCTGTAGTATTATACAGACCTGATGTTAGAGGGACTGGGACCACAGACATCACACACCCCTCCCTGTAGTATTATACAGACCTGATGTTAGAGGGACTGGGACCACAGACATCACACACCCCTCCCTGTAGTATTATACAGACCTGATGTTAGAGGGACTGGGACCACAGACATCACACACCCCTCCCTGTAGTATTATACAGACCTGATGTTAGAGGGACTGGGACCACAGACATCACACACCCCTCCCTGTAGTATTATACAGACCTGATGTTAGAGGGACTGGGACCACAGACATCACACACCCCTCCCTGTAGTATTATACAGACCTGATGTTAGAGGGACTGGGACCACAGACATCACACACCCCTCCCTGTAGTATTATACAGACCTGATGTTAGAGGGACTGGGACCACAGACATCACACACCCCTCCCTGTAGTATTATACAGACCTGATGTTAGAGGGACTGGGACCACAGACATCACACACCCCTCCCTGTAGTATTATACAGACCTGATGTTAGAGGGACTGGGACCACAGACATCACACACCCCTCCCTGTAGTATTATACAGACCTGATGTTAGAGGGACTGGGACCACAGACATCACACACCCCTCCCTGTAGTATTATACAGACCTGATGTTAGAGGGACTGGGACCACAGACATCACACACCCCTCCCTGTAGTATTATACAGACCTGATGTTAGAGGGACTGGGACCACAGACATCACACACCCCTCCCTGTAGTATTATACAGACCTGATGTTAGAGGGACTGGGACCACAGACATCACACACCCCTCCCTGTAGTATTATACAGACCTGATGTTAGAGGGACTGGGACCACAGACATCACACACCCCTCCCTGTAGTATTATACAGACCTGATGTTAGAGGGACTGGGACCACAGACATCACACACCCCTCCCTGTAGTATTATACAGACCTGATGTTAGAGGGACTGGGACCACAGACATCACACACCCCTCCCTGTAGTATTATACAGACCTGATGTTAGAGGGACTGGGACCACAGACATCACACACCCCTCCCTGTAGTATTATACAGACCTGATGTTAGAGGGACTGGGACCACAGACATCACACACCCCTCCCTGTAGTATTATACAGACCTGATGTTAGAGGGACTGGGACCACAGACATCACACACCCCTCCCTGTAGTATTATACAGACCTGATGTTAGAGGGACTGGGACCACAGACATCACACACCCCTCCCTGTAGTATTATACAGACCTGATGTTAGAGGGACTGGGACCACAGACATCACACACCCCTCCCTGTAGTATTATACAGACCTGATGTTAGAGGGACTGGGACCACAGACATCACACACCCCTCCCTGTAGTATTATACAGACCTGATGTTAGAGGGACTGGGACCACAGACATCACACACCCCTCCCTGTAGTATTATACAGACCTGATGTTAGAGGGACTGGGACCACAGACATCACACACCCCTCCCTGTAGTATTATACAGACCTGATGTTAGAGGGACTGGGACCACAGACATCACACACCCCTCCCTGTAGTATTATACAGACCTGATGTTAGAGGGACTGGGACCACAGACATCACACACCCCTCCCTGTAGTATTATACAGACCTGATGTTAGAGGGACTGGGACCACAGACATCACACACCCCTCCCTGTAGTATTATACAGACCTGATGTTAGAGGGACTGGGACCACAGACATCACACACCCCTCCCTGTAGTATTATACAGACCTGATGTTAGAGGGACTGGGACCACAGACATCACACACCCCTCCCTGTAGTATTATACAGACCTGATGTTAGAGGGACTGGGACCACAGACATCACACACCCCTCCCTGTAGTATTATACAGACCTGATGTTAGAGGGACTGGGACCACAGACATCACACACCCCTCCCTGTAGTATTATACAGACCTGATGTTAGAGGGACTGGGACCACAGACATCACACACCCCTCCCTGTAGTATTATACAGACCTGATGTTAGAGGGACTGGGACCACAGACATCACACACCCCTCCCTGTAGTATTATACAGACCTGATGTTAGAGGGACTGGGACCACAGACATCACACACCCCTCCCTGTAGTATTATACAGACCTGATGTTAGAGGGACTGGGACCACAGACATCACACACCCCTCCCTGTAGTATTATACAGACCTGATGTTAGAGGGACTGGGACCACAGACATCACACACCCCTCCCTGTAGTATTATACAGACCTGATGTTAGAGGGACTGGGACCACAGACATCACACACCCCTCCCTGTAGTATTATACAGACCTGATGTTAGAGGGACTGGGACCACAGACATCACACACCCCTCCCTGTAGTATTATACAGACCTGATGTTAGAGGGACTGGGACCACAGACATCACACACCCCTCCCTGTAGTATTATACAGACCTGATGTTAGAGGGACTGGGACCACAGACATCACACACCCCTCCCTGTAGTATTATACAGACCTGATGTTAGAGGGACTGGGACCACAGACATCACACACCCCTCCCTGTAGTATTATACAGACCTGATGTTAGAGGGACTGGGACCACAGACATCACACACCCCTCCCTGTAGTATTATACAGACCTGATGTTAGAGGGACTGGGACCACAGACATCACACACCCCTCCCTGTAGTATTATACAGACCTGATGTTAGAGGGACTGGGACCACAGACATCACACACCCCTCCCTGTAGTATTATACAGACCTGATGTTAGAGGGACTGGGACCACAGACATCACACACCCCTCCCTGTAGTATTATACAGACCTGATGTTAGAGGGACTGGGACCACAGACATCACACACCCCTCCCTGTAGTATTATACAGACCTGATGTTAGAGGGACTGGGACCACAGACATCACACACCCCTCCCTGTAGTATTATACAGACCTGATGTTAGAGGGACTGGGACCACAGACATCACACACCCCTCCCTGTAGTATTATACAGACCTGATGTTAGAGGGACTGGGACCACAGACATCACACACCCCTCCCTGTAGTATTATACAGACCTGATGTTAGAGGGACTGGGACCACAGACATCACACACCCCTCCCTGTAGTATTATACAGACCTGATGTTAGAGGGACTGGGACCACAGACATCACACACCCCTCCCTGTAGTATTATACAGACCTGATGTTAGAGGGACTGGGACCACAGACATCACACACCCCTCCCTGTAGTATTATACAGACCTGATGTTAGAGGGACTGGGACCACAGACATCACACACCCCTCCCTGTAGTATTATACAGACCTGATGTTAGAGGGACTGGGACCACAGACATCACACACCCCTCCCTGTAGTATTATACAGACCTGATGTTAGAGGGACTGGGACCACAGACATCACACACCCCTCCCTGTAGTATTATACAGACCTGATGTTAGAGGGACTGGGACCACAGACATCACACACCCCTCCCTGTAGTATTATACAGACCTGATGTTAGAGGGACTGGGACCACAGACATCACACACCCCTCCCTGTAGTATTATACAGACCTGATGTTAGAGGGACTGGGACCACAGACATCACACACCCCTCCCTGTAGTATTATACAGACCTGATGTTAGAGGGACTGGGACCACAGACATCACACACCCCTCCCTGTAGTATTATACAGACCTGATGTTAGAGGGACTGGGACCACAGACATCACACACCCCTCCCTGTAGTATTATACAGACCTGATGTTAGAGGGACTGGAACCACTGCCATCAAACACTCCTCCCTGTAGTAGATGTGCTACAGTGTAGTAAGCCATATAGATGGTTGAATCTGACAGAGCTTCAATTACATACTTGGTGTCCCATGGTAGCTTTGTACCTGATAAAAAAAACCACATTTGTATTGACAATAACTATTAATATAAGCCAGAAGATCTACTACACATAGAATACAAGAGGCCCAGGAGCCTTATACACCTGGTATTTTATTTTTAATTAAAATCTGCTCCTAGGGGGCCCACACCCCCTATTTATATAATTGAATCCTCTATCCCGAAAGACGCAATGAAACAAGTTTGATTAACATCCATCCATTGGTTCAAAACGAAAGGATTTTTAATGTTTTACTCTATTTCCTCTCCTTGGCCTCAACAACCCCTCTGCCCCAAAGGGAAGTCATAGCCTCAGTTTATATAAAATTGAGTCTTCTTTCCACAATGATACTTCAGATCACATTTGGTTGAAATCCCTTCATTCATTAACAACTTTTTTTCTGTTTGAACTTTCTTACCTAACCCAAAACTTCTGGAACAAGCATGTTCATGTAGCCAGTCTAAAGTAGCAACAAAGTTCCTGCGAACCTCATCAGCGTATGTTTCCATATCTCCCAGACATTTCAGGGCCTGCTCCTTCCATTTAGGCTCACCATAGTCCAGGTACCTGGGCAATCACAGATCAGTCATTAGAATCCAGGTTGACACTAAGCCTTCCCTTACTATACCCACATTCATTTTCACTTCACAAATTAAACAAGAGAATGTCACGTATACATGTCAAGGAAGAAGTACTTAGACTTAAAGATTTACACACCAATCCGCAGACTGTCATCTAACTTATATAGTCATCATCTCACTTATATAGTCATCATCTCACTGA